TTAGTTCTTAAATTTTACTACACTTAACTACAGCTGTTGTGTAATATGTATGTATATATATATATATATATATATATATAAACACTGTTTCATCCATCCATTCACCACTTTTCTTTATAACTAAGTAAACTAATGATTATGTTATGTTATTATATTATAATTTTATTAATAATTATCTTCGTAACACCGTAACAAAAAAAGGCATTATCATGAACTGAGAACCAAAAGCAGAATCTAACAGCTACAACTAGACCCAGTGAAAATCAAGAAGGCAAAATTAGTGAGAATAAAAGATTATGAGAGGATAAAGTTAATGTAGACAGCAACTCAGAATGAATAACTTTCATATTAATAATTCTGTGACTGCTAATATTTTAAACCATTAATTTTTGCTAGAATTGTTTGGAAGTACTAAGAAGCACAATAACAAATTCACTATAGACTTAAAGAAATAACTACCTACTATTATAGCTATGTTTAGTAATATTGTGTGCAAAGCAAAATTCCTCAATAGAGAATTTACCAATCCAAATACATTTTTAACTTTACCATCATATAACAATAGCAAAATTAGCAATATTTTTGAATGCTGATCTGTTACATATTCAATGGGAAATCTATATTTGAAATGAAAAAAAATTTGCAAATTTTTCATAATTTCCTTTTTTGGAAAATTAACATCTCTAGAGACCACAATGGTAAATATTTATAGTGAACTAAATGTGGAAAGTAAATGATTTTAATAGATTAGCAAAGAGTACTCAACTTAAAATTTTAGAATGCTAATATTAAATAGCTTTGTTATAAAGTGCTGCACATATTTATTTTGGAATTTATTTGTAACTTGAAACTTTGATCATAAATTTATCAACTTTAAGGGTAGAGTTTTCATTCTTATTTTTTCATCTAATGCTGAGAATAGCATTATTTCATCGTAACAACAAAGGATGTACAGCTGAGCATAGTTATAATGAAGCTTCAGGGAGCTCTACGTATTCTTTACAGCCATAGTAAATATGAATCAGTAAATAGTAAATTTGGTATGACCAATGTCTTGTTTTTATATGATTTTATTAGAAAAATGTACAACATTCCAATTTAGAGGTTTTCAGTATGTAATGCAGTAGGTATCTAAATAGTAAAAGGATACTAAACTTCGTATTAATATACTTATGTAATTAAAATTCTTTGCATTCATGTTCACTGCATAGATACTGAAAGATGTGTACTAGCTTTTGACTAACATTTAAAGCAGATAAAATTTGAAGAGGCTAACAGTTGTGCATGTGACACAAGTAATGTGGTTGTTTTTTTAAAATTGCCACTTGAAATAACTGTATTATAACTGTTGTGTGTATGTGTGTTGATATACAAGTTGTAGATGTATAAACATATTGATATTGTACAGGCACAAAAAGAAATCATTCCCAACAATTTTGAGTAGTTAGTATACACAAAAGACAATAATTAATGAAAAGTATACTGAACTTCATTATAAAGAAATTCTTCTATTTTCAAACTGCCAATTGCTACTTTATATTT